GCAAGTAAAATATTAATGGGATAGTGGTGGTTAAGGAAAGAGACTAAAAAAAATCAGGGTAGAAACTGACACTCTGGTTAGTGCTGGACCTTGTCACTGGACCGTTGTCACAGTTGGCAGAATCTGAGAAAATGAGGCTAGTGATTTCTGTTAAATGTGATGCACTTGAAAAATTTAACTCCCTTGACTAATCCAAAATTGACTTCTGAAGTTATCCTCTGTGGGAACATCTCTTTTATCTGAGTTTTGCTTAAAAACTATTAAAAGATTATTTCTATTTTTTTCTATCTGATATCTAGAAGCCTTTTGTTTTTTGCCTTTGTCTTGCTTTTCCTTACACCAGAACTGCATTTGGAAAAAAATGCAGATCTTTTTATCCTTTCTACAAATTAGGATTTGGGATTTGTGTGGACAGCAATCATTGATGTATGTTGCTATCAGTAGACTTGACCACACTCAGATATCCATGAGTTTTTAATATAGCAAGAATGACAAAGTAAGATTATCTGTTTAAATAATAGAAAAAAGCATCAACTGATACATCGTTGCTGCAGCATCTGGAGCTGTCAACATTTACATTGTGTTGGGTTTTAAATGACAGTTTTAATTTTTTTTTCTCGCAGAGAACTTGTGATAACAAGAGAGAACATATCTACCAAAGGGTGAATGGGGAAATAGTGAAACAATATTAGTTAGCATGATATCAGCAAAAAAGGACCTAATCATTGTGAACTTGTCTTTGTAGGCATCATGGCAAAGAGGAGTTTTAAGGACCTGAAAGAGGTTGATGTGGCTGTTTATTCCCTTGCTTGAAAAGAAGTATGGGAAAAAGCACAAGAGTGCATCTTTGAAAATTTAACCAGTGAACAATGATAGTCTCATTGGAAGCAGAAGTTAATATTTCAGTAATAAATTAGAGTTGGATTAAGCCATGAAAGGCCTTGGAAATGAAGACAAATAGTTTGCATTTAATGCAGTGCAGGAAATGGAAGCAATGGAAAGAGAAAAAGCAGGAACAATGACAATTGAGGCAGGAACAATAATGACTGCTTCATCTAGGAAGTTCTAAACTTCACTTTTAATCTTGATAGTCTGTGTCCAAGATGAAGCCTTTGGGGTTTTCAGAGAATTCCAGTTACTTAAATAACTTGTTTTGCTGACTTTTTTTTTTCTCTTTCCTCCTTTTAATCATTATGATCTCATATTTTTTTTTCATAATAATGTAAAAGACAGTATTTCCCTATCATGGTAGGCGTATACAAATAATGTATAATTGCCACAGTAACATCTGGAGTTAAATTCCAAAGAAAACTATTGGATTTCTCTGTCAATTTTAGGAAGCAACCAGAAACAAAATACAGTTAAGTACTTACTAGTAAGATGTTGGTTCGGCTTATTGATTTCTGTTGTTTAAATTACATATTTGAAATGGATGTCCCCTTATGACCTATTATTTCCATTGTAAAATTTGTGCGATCCTTGTTAGTGAATTCAATAACATCTCTGATTGGAATCATGAGCTACAAACAATTTGTGGGTTGAGATTTGAGTGTTTATGTTACTTTTTTTCCTATACTTTGACTCAAGCTTGTAGTAGCAGTAGACATTTAATTACAGTTTAATTCTGATAAATGCTACGGAAATTTGACCTTTGATTACTTATAGGTTTGTTTGTTTGTTTGTTTGTTTGTTTGTTTTTGGTTTTATTTTTGCTCTGCTACACTGTAAGAAATAGTAGTTTCCATGATAGCCCTTTCACCAAAGGGGAATCCCCGTGTGCCTGGCAGAGGATTGCCTAGATTTTTTTGGAGGGTTAAACCCAAAGCAAATGTCTGGATTAATCAAAACTGTTGTACTTCAGAGTGCATATCAGTGTAAATGCATTTTTCCACTGCTGTGCTTACTTGGGCAGCTTAGCCACTGAAGTGCTGTTTGCTGCTGCTCCAAAAATGAACTGTAAGGAAAAGCATTTTCAGCGAAGCCTAGGCACTTGAAGAAGACAGTTCTCGAGCTTGGCCTGAGTTCATGAAGCAAACGCTCAGGAGCTGAGAGAGAGAGCAAGAACCTATCTAAATGCCTGTAACAGGGGTGAGGGGTTAAATTGTGTCCCCCACCCTAACACCTTCCTGGATGTACCTCCCCCCCCATTAGTCCAGCTGTTGCTGCTGTTGGAGCCTCCAGGTTTCCCCCACCTTCTTGCCTCTTGGCATGGGACAGCATGTCCGGGGACTGTGGGGCTGTGGGATCTAGGTAGCCCTGCAAGGTAGGGAAGCATGCATGGTAGCAGTACTTCCAGATGCCTTGTGTGGGAGTGCTTGGGAGACCACGTGATAGGAGAATGCTGGGCAAGATGTGTTTTCTTTTCTGACGATCTGAAAACTTTTTACTGACAGCCACATTGTTTTACTTGTATGTATTTTTACTGATATGTTTTACATAATGCAAATGTAGCCCTTCTGCCAGGCCATGGACAAAGTCTAGGTTCTAATTTAGTGGTTTGACACCAAGTATAGTAAAAATATTGGCTGTCGGTAAAATTTTTTATCAGAATATCAAAAAAAAAAGAAAAGTTTTTGGCTTGGCATCTATGTTTGACTGTGGCAATGGTTTTAATACTATACTGTTCCACCCAGGGATCCCCCACTCACCCCCGCACCCTACCTTGATGTGAGAGATGTGAGCATGTTATATTTGCACAGTTGAACTTAAAGATACTTTCTGTTGAATGTGCTAATGGCAATGTATGTATAGTTTTACTTTGTTTACACCATATTCTGCTAGTCTGACACCATTGTACCTACTAGTCTGACAATGCTCTGTCTCACACTTGTGGCTGGAGTCACTTAGTTATGAATGCTCTGAGACAAACATAACAACTGGGAACAAGGATGAGATTTCCTGAGTATGGAATACACAAAATCAACCTGAGAAATTTGCTTCAATTGAGTACTTGAAATCTGTTGGAACCCAAAATGTTTACTCAAATTGAAACAATTGAGGCTTATGATAGCATCCTGCAAGACTGGCCTATGTGTGTATATATAGTGGCTGAAGCATTTTTTTAAGTAAATGAATTTCTTCCATGGAAACATGTACCTTCATTACTGAGTTTGATGGGAGGTAAAACGTATAGATTACTGCATAGCCTGCTCACTCCAAAAAACCCAGCAAACAGAGCCTTTAAAGAATTAATGAAAATTGTCAAAGGGCACTTTGCCCCCAAGTTGATTATGCAGAAAAGTTTGGGTTTCATAAGCGAAATCAATTTGAACTTGAATCTATTTCCACTTTTACAACAGAGTTATGGAAATTGTTGGAACATTGCAATTTTAATGTAGCCCTCAGCGACAGATTTGTGCGTGGGCTACTTAGTGAAGCCATACAAAGGAAGCTCTTAACAGTGGAAGAGCTCACCTTTAACTTGCTCTTGCTATTAGAAATGCTATGAAAACTGCAGCAACGGATGCAATAGATTTGTATGGAGGAGTGCATATGGAAATAAGAATGAATGACTTAATATGAGTTCAATATGCAGCTGAAGAATCAGGGTAGGTGGCAGCCTGATGTGTGCTGTTAGTTGGCAAAGGGTCTAACACCCCAGCTATTTGCTTGTTTAATGAACGCTACTGCCAAAGTTGTAGTAAAAAAGACAGTGTGCCCTGCTTAGACAATTAAAAGATGAGAGTAAGGTAAGGTCTAGAAAAGTGAATAAAAAGGTGTATGTAGTAGGAACAGTAGTGACATATATGGTGAGAATGACATAGCTAGTCTGGGCCTATATTATGTGGATGAGGGTGATAATTTACCCATCTGGCTAACAACCCAGGTGATTTGGAAGGCCTTTAAATAAGGCTGGATATAGGCTCTGCACTGTCTGTTATCTCGCATTCAGAATATGAAAAACCTTTTAAAATATAAAATTAAGGAAGACACCAGTGTTAAAAAAACACACGCAAAGAGAAGATTGTGCCAAAGGGGGTAATGTCAGGACAGTAGAATATAATAATAAGTGGCATCTCTTGACTTACACCATTGAAAAAGGGCGATCCACTCTGTGGGGTCATAAATGGTTAAAAGAGATTCCCCATGGACTGGAATTGTTTAAAGATGCAGGCACTTTCAAAGGTCCCTGCAGAAACAGTTAAATAACAATTAGAAGGGATATTAATAAATGGCTGATATATCATATACCTTGGCATATGATGGTACTGAATGGCCCATACTTTTTGCATCTGACTCACTCATCGGAGCAGAATGGCATTATGCACAGGTGAACAAAGAAGATTTAATTTTGGTGTGGGGAATGAAGAACTTTAACCAGTATGAAGAAAATTTACATTTGTCACAGATCACTAACCCTTAGTTTTTGTTCTCCACCCTAAGAAAGGACAAGCGTGGCATGAATGCACCAGTGGGTTCTCTTTAGCCGTTTACACTTACAATATCGAGTACAAAAGAACAGAGATACATGGAAATACTGATG